TTAGGTATGTGTATTTTAAATATATATATATATATATATACTAGAGGCCCGGTGCACAAAAATTTATGCACTCGGGGGGGGGTCCCTCAGCCCGGCCTGTGCCCTCTCGCAGTCTGGGACCCCTCGGGAGATAACGACCTGCTGGCTTAGGCCTGCTCCCGGGTGGCAGAGGGCAGGCCCAATCCCTAGGTGCAGCCCCTGGTTGGGCTCAGAGCAGGGCCGATTGGGGAGTTGGGGCGCCGCCCCCCCGTCATGCACAGAGCAGGGCGGATCGGGAGGTTGCGATGCCACCCTCAGTCACGCTCAGGGTAGGGCCAATTGGGGGGTTGGGGCACTGCCCCCTGTCACACTCAAGGCAGGGTCGATGGGGAGGTTGCAGTGCCACCCCCTGTCACGCACAGAGCAGGGCCCATCAGGGGGTTGGGGTTCCGTACCCTGTTACACACAGAGCAGGGCCCATCAGGGGGTTGGGGCACTGCACACTGTCACACACAGAGCAGGGCCCATCAGGGGGTTGGGGCGCTGCACACTGTCACACACAGAGCAGGGCCCATCAGGGGGTTGGGGAGCTCCCCCCTGTCACTCACAGAGCAGGGCCCATCAGGGGGTTGAGGAGCTCCCCCCTGTCACACACAGAGCAGGCTGATCAGAAGTTTGAGGAGCTCCCCCCTGTCACTCACAGAGTAGGGCCGATAGGGGAGTTGGGGCCCCGCCCCCTGTCACACACAAGAGCAGGGCGGATCAGGGGGTTGGGGCCCCTCCCCCCTGTCACACTCAGGGCAGGGCCAATGGGGAGGTTATGGCTCTACCCCGTCACACACAGAGCAAGGCCTGTGGAGAGGGGTTGGGGCGCCACCACCCCGTCACACACAGAGCAAGGCTGTGGAGAGGGGTTGGGGCGCCACCCTCTATTACCCACAGAGCAGGGCCGATCAGGGGGTTGGGGCGCCGCCACTGTCACACACAGAGCAGGGCCCGTGGGGGGGGGGGGTTGGGGCGCTGCACCCTGTCACAGAGCCACAGGGTGATCAGGGGATTGGGGAGCTTCCCCCTATCAGGCACAGAGCAGGGCTGATCAGGGGGTTGGGGCGCCTTTCCCTGTCACCAACAGAGCAGGGCCGATCAGGGGGTTGTGGCCCCGCCCCCTTTCACACTCAGAGCCGCAGGGCGATCAGGGGGTTTGGGCGCTGCCCCCTGTCATGCTGATCCCGGTGCAGGGAGGACTCACTGCTCCGCTGACCCCGGTGCCAGGAGGCATATTACCCTTTTACTATATAGAATAGAGGCCTGGTGCACGGGTGGGGGCCGGCTGGTTTGCCCTGAAGGGTGTCCTGGATCAGGGTGGGGGTCCCCACTGAGGTGCCTGGCCAGGCTGGCTGAGGGGTTGAGGGCCGTTTTCCGGCTGGCGGGTGACTGAAGCTCCCAACTGCTCTTTTTTTTCTTTTTTTTATATTTGTTCTGTTTTTTTCCAGCTTTAGCTCTGAGGCCTCGCTGCTGAAAGCAGGTTTCTGGCCTTTACCTTCTGTATTTGATACAATGTTGCGGTCAGGCTGGCTGAAGCCAGGCTGACTGAAAGCCGGTTTCTGGGGTTTTGTTTAGCTTCTATATTTGCAACATAGTTGCTTAGAGTTGCAGCTGAGAGGCCGGCAAGTCAGGCGGGGAATGTTGGAGTCTGCCATCACCGGAGCAAGCAAGCCTCCCTGTTCACTTCAGTGGATGGCTGCCGGCCGCCATCTTGGCTGACAGTTAATTTGCATAAGGATATGCTGATTAGCCAATGGGAAGGGTAGCGGTCGTACGCTAATTACCATGTTTCTCTTTTATTAGTGTAGAAAAGTATGCCTATATTTTATTCTTATTCTTTTATATATATTGCTGAGCATTGTTGTAGAAAATTACAAAACCATTGCCAACCCATGTTCTGTACCTTGAGCTGAGCCTCAACATAATTCACCTATTCAATTGTTAATAGATGTTTATATTCATAAATATTTCTCATCCTTTCTCCGTAGCGACAAATCAAATCTTTACCATCTTCCTGAAATTCCCTGCGTCACACTTTCAGTGATGACTTTACAGGCAAAAGAGAGAAGCCAATAGGCAGAACTTTCTGGGCTTCTTCCCCAAATGACCAATGTAACTGTATTCACACCTGTCCTTTTTCCTTTCCTCTAATCTCAGACAAAGATCTGCACCTCTAGTTCATGACTAACCGACTCCCCACCCCAAAGTACTTTGGCTCTCAACTCAATCTAATTCTCCAGTGACCTCAGGTCATCATTCTCCCTTCCCTCCTGAACCCTAGTCTCTCCCACCCTATTGATTCTTCCCCTTCAGCAAATATACATGTTTAAACCGTCCCCATCCTAAAACAAAACAAAACAAAACCAAAGACCAAAAGCAAAAAAAAAACCACACTTGTTAAAGTCTCTTGACCCCTTTACCTACCTTATTTACATAATTTCCTATTCACTTTCATTAATATTTTCAAGCCCTGTCACATAAATAAAAAGTCTTATCAAGGTTCCTAATCATTATTTAGTTGCATTCTCATTCCTAATGGATATTTTATGGCAGTCACTCAAGGAAAAAACCTGGAAATTTCTCTGTTTCTTTCTTTTCCTCACCTCCCATCTCCTAGGTTTAGCCACTGTATATATTAAAAATCCCACTCTTCTTCTCCCCTCTTGAATGATTTCCCTTTCTCCACTGGCTCCCTATTTCTGCTCATATCTCATATCTCTGCTAGATCTTTCTAAAATAGAAATCTAATCATATAATTCCTTTGTAAAACTTTTAAGTGGTTCCCTAGACTGAATACAAATATTTAAAATAACATAGAAGACTTTGTTTTATAATTTGTTTTCTAGTAATCTTTCCTAGTCTTAATTTTTAACTTAGCCCATATAATCCATTTCTCCCACTAGGCACAAGATATAGTTTCTGAAGATATGATTTTCCATTCCTGTTTGCCTTTGAACATGTTATCCCTCTAACTAGGATATCAATGTCATCCTCTGGGAAGTTCATTTTTCTATGTCCCTATGTCATCTGATGAAGTTAAATCAAAGTAATTGTGTGTGTTCCTGCTTAATCTATATAATACTCTTCTTGCCAGTGAATTTATAAGAACACAAGCAAAACCAGTGGTGACAAAGCTCAAAGGGACAGGACAGATCCAAGCACAGGAAGTGAGGCTTGTTCTCACCCACAATCACAATCCAAATTCCTGTGTACTCAGGGCAGTGTGACTTCATGAAAAGAGCGTTGATTTGGGAGTCAGGAGACCTGAATTCTAGTACTGATTCTGATATTAACTAACTACTGTTGTTACATGATCTCGCTAAGTCATTTTCTTCTCAAACAGTCTATGTAATTCTAAGACTCACATGAGATAATATCTCTGAAAGTGCTGTATACTCACTAGAAGGTAGTTTCTATCTGAAGGGCTGGGTAAGATAGTATGGATGGAGCCAGGGCCTCTGCTCTGCACACCTCCAAGAGCAGTGCTTACATTGCAGTCTATGTGAACACTGACCTGAAGTGGCATGGCTCCACAGCCCTGGATGTAGCCTTGGTAAACCATTGAAACATTGGAAATGAATGACTCAGAAAATGAGCATTATGCAATGCAGAGGCAGCATCCTTCTGCTTTCCACAGCTCTAAAGGAGAATGGGCCGTACAGATAAAGGGAAGGCCAAGGAGGAGAAAAGAAGACTTACAGAGGTGAAATGGAAAATACATATAAAAAATAAGCTTAATTTTCTCTGTTGTGAAAGAGGCTTCTTCCCCTCTCACATTTGTTCTTAAAATGTATTTCTTTAGAAAATTTGTAAACTTTGTCTCTTTGAAATGTCTGTAAGACTTTTTAAAAGGCTAACTAAATCTCTTGCCACCTTTACAAACCAGAAATATCTTTCCCAAAGGAAGCCATTGCTTTGAAATGTAATCATCAAGGACCATAGATGATTTCCTAGTCTTAATTTTTATCTTCTCTCATATAATCTATTTCTCCCACTAGGCACAAGGTATAGTTTCTGAAGATATGATTTTCCATTCCTGTCTGCCTTTGAACATGTTATCTCTCTAACTAGGATACCAATGTCCTGCTTCTTCTTCTACTTCTCCCCACTACCTTTACTCATCTGTCCAGATTCACCTGGAAATGTCATCCTCTGGGAAGTTCATTATTCTATGTCCCCATGTCATCTGATGAAGTTAAATCAAAATAAACTTCCAATCTTCATGGGAGGTTAGGAGTCTAACTTAGGGGCTTGGTTTCAACTCACAAAACTATCTTCTACCATAAAGATAGGAGAACTTTTATTATTCCTTTGGATAAAGGCAATTAGCTAACACAGTTGGCCACCCCGGTTACCAGGTAAATGCCAGATGAACTATGTATGACAGATGGTGCTGTTGAGTCCTCTGATAAGAGCACTAGTCATTGTTTATTTTGACATGTGTGTAATGGGTTGTATTTGTTTGGTTATTTGACAGGTCAGATTTCTTTCTGTCTTTACAACCTCGTTCGTGTATTGCCTGTGATGCACATCATGTTCTGGTTTAATGTTTATTTAAAAATAAAAACTGTTTTCTTTCTATTATACCTTTTGGAGAGGTTTTCTGGGGTGGGAGAAGATTTTATCTTTGATTATATTTCCCCAATGGGCACAAAACAATCTTGGTAAGAATTATAATTGAGCTAGAAAAACAATTGTCACATTCTCACAATGTCCTCTCTCCCTCCCTTCTCCCTGTTCCCATCTCTTCTTGTACTTCATATCTAGTAGTTCCTCTTCAGAATTTATTTTGGCATAAAAATTAACTGTCCAGTGTCATTATATATATATGTATATGTGTATATATATATATATATATATATGTATATTATTGTTAATATTATCATATGGAGAAGCTTTACACCAAAGAGCAAATCTGTAGTTACCGGGCCCACATAGGTTCCCCCAAGTACACACAGATAGCACTTAGAATAACCCCCTATAGGATTATGTCACACTAGTTATTCTTTATCCTATGCTCTGTACCAGCCCTCCCCCCAAACCCTTCTTGTCTCTTCTCTCACTAGAAGAGTTGACCATAACATGAAAACTCCCATCTCCATACATGATCACTTCACAAATAGAATATCTGTTGGCCTGTGCTACCTCAAATCTGGTAAAAGAAACAAACAACGAAAATTTAAAAACCTCCTTGGCCCTGCCTTTTATAAATGTGGTAAAGGTCACATGGTTTAAATTTCAGCAATAGGGCACCAATAAAAGGGCTATGAATTGGAAAATTTTGAGCATGGTGCAAATGATGGGGAATGATGAGGGCCATCCTTTTCCAGGAACTTCAAGGAAGAGTAAGACTTCTCTGGTAGAGACTAAATGATAGAGTGGGAAGGAAGAAAGCTAATAGCTGGGGACCAGATCCTTTTTTAACAGAAAAGGTGCCCTTGTATTAATTACAGAAGAAAAAAAGGAATTCTATCTTATAAATGAAGAAACCTTGAGATTTTGGGCAGTAAGCTCTATAGAGCCGGATTTGAACTGGTATTTGCCTCTTTAAGTGAGTGTCTTTGTGCAATGAGAACTACAAACTGGACACAGCGGCTGGTTGGGTGCTGCTGCCACTTCCTACCCATGCTCACACCCCCCCATGCCTGATAATCAGTAGTAGATTAACTTCTGGGACTGAATACAGAGATCCTGGGTGATAATTCATCTCTTGGAAATAATTACAGACCCTGGAAGAGGCAGAGTGGGGTTGTTTTTCAGTAGATCCAGGACTGTGCCACCTATCTCTGCCTTTGATGGTGGTAAGTGAATTTCTCCCTTCCATATTTCTCACACCGTCTTTAATGTTGGCAGTACTGAGCTGTTTTCATGGTTATCATCCCTTTCCTATGATCTCTTAAAGATGATTGAGGGAGACACTTCATAGCTTTGAGAAAAGACGATTAAGAAAACTCACAGAGCATTGGAAAGATTTGAGAACCACTGTGGTCCCTGTCTCAGCCAAAGACTGCGTCAGTGAAGGGATTTCTCATTCTTCTAGAGAGGCATAAAAGGAAAATCTGCAAAATCACTTCCTCGTTTTTCTGAGAGACTAAGTGCATTTCATGTCTAAAGTTACACTGTTTTATTGACTCCGATAAGCCATCATTTGTAAGATTTATAATTATTTTATATTTCACTAAGGAGGCAAAAACAGTAGACAATTAAATAGGCTGATAGTGGCAATTATTAAGACCCATTCCACTTGAGAGATTAAAATGTGGAAAAGGTACGCCTTAGAATAAGTGAAATGCAGCATTTCTAACTGCAATCTCTTTTGCTGTAATGACATCGCATCACCATGGCAGATAATGGAATCTAGTAACTTATGTGAAATGTGTAACTTCTAGAAATACTTCCTCCCTGGCATAACTATACAGATCCTGCGTGTGGCCTGCTTTGCGGGACATCTTGGTATTTTCTTGTGCAAGGCTGACATCTGCTGGATAAGTGGCATTTGAGCCAAGCTCTGTACAGTTGTCCCCTGCTATCTGTGGTTTCAGTTACCCATGGTTAACAGTGGCCTGAAAATATTAAATGAAAAATTCCAGAAATAAAAAGTTCAGAAATTTTAAATTGTACGCTATTCTGAATAGTGTGATGAAGTCCCTCACTGTCTGCTCCATCCCACTTGGGACATGAAACATCCCTTTGTTCAAGGTCTCCACACTTTAAACATTCCCTGCCCATCAATCACTCAGTTATCACATTAGCTGCCAGGGTATCACAAGCCATTCTTATTTTACTTAATAATGCCACATTCCCACAACTTTATTACAGTATATTGTTGCAATTGTTCCATTTTATTAGTAGTTGTTATTAATCTCTTACTGTGCTTAATTTATAAATTAAACTTTATCATAGGTATATATTATCAGAAAAACATAGTACATATAGCATTCAGTACTATCTATGGTTTCAGGCATCCACTGGGGGTCTTGGAACATATCCCTCATGGATAAGGGGGGATTACAGTGTGTGTGTGTGTGTGTGTGTGTGTGTGTGTGTGTGTGTGATTCTCCTATTTCATAGGACAAAACTAAAGTGATTTCTGCAAGAACTAATATGAGGTATGTCATTTGACTCCATGTCTTAAATTTTTCAACTGTATATAACATATTGCTGCCTCCTGATATTTACCTCTTTTGTGAGTCACTAATCTCTATACCTGGAGATGAAGGTAATGGGTAAGAGAGAAAGAAGAGCCATTAGGGCTCCAAGCCACAGATTATTAGAATTAAAAGAGAATTGTAGAGATCCTTGTGATTATGGACTAATAACACTGAAGTTTTGGAGTTTTAACAAAAATGCTAGGAAGTGCAGTAAATAGTTCTAAGATATGCACAATGAAGGGAACTCTAAGCTAGATGAATCCTTATTCATTTACTTAATTCAAGAAAGGTTTCAATTCCTACTATTTTGGAATAGTCATTATCCCCGATGCCATCTTCTCTGTGGTCCTGAGATATAGGTGGTAAAAACTATAGAAGATTAAGTTTCACCTAGTTTAAACAATAAATCTTTTGCCCAAATGTTCAAATGTATAGGGGATGCCTCTGAAAGAGTTAATATTCAAAACTCACATCACGAGGAAAGACATTTTAGTGGCAATAACAACGTATGTGAGATTCGACATCAGACCCTTGTTGCAGAAAGAAGCTCAGAGCCTAAATGAACAAAGCTGTGAGATACACTGAGGAGTCTTCCCTAAGTCCTATGATGTGGGCTGATTAAGAAGTAGCTAAAAATGTAGGTGCTGGCATGTAAATCTCCATGATCGTTCCTCACCTGTTACAAAACTCCTACAATGCTTTTCAAACTCCGATGTGCAAAAGAATCACTCCGGATCTTGATATAATGGTGATTCATCAGGTAGGGACTGGGATTCCAAATTTCTAACAAAATTCCAAGTGATGTTAATGCTGCTGGCCTGCAGACTGCATTTTTAATATTAAGGTTATGTAGGATTTTCCCCAGAACAGCAGCATCAGCCTTACCTGGGAAGTTGTTAGAAATGCATATTTTCAGGCCCTGTCTAGACCTATTTCATCGGAAACTCTGGGAATTGGGGCCCAGCCATTAGTATTTTAACAAATCCTCTGGATGATTCTAATGCTAATGTATGAGAATCACGGATCTAGAGAAGTATTTATCTACCCATAATAGAATTGCCCTAGGAGCTTAAAAACAAAATATCAGCCACTGGTTTCCATGCCATCCCAATTAATCAAGATTTCAGGATGTGGGATTCCTCTTTGTGAGTATTAAAAAAATATTCCCACATGATTATGATATGCAGCCAGCATGGAGAATAAGAGAGAGAGAGAGAGAGAGAGAGAGAGAGAGAGACTGACTTACTTCTTGAGTCTTTGCCAACAAAAGGATGGTAGAGGTGAGGGGGTGTGCGTCTGCTGGCCCAGTATGTCTCCTCGTCGTCCTCACTGTTGCTTTGCACCTGTAACCAAGATCCCAGCCGAACTAGTCAGAGCCACTGGTGGGGAAAGGTGCAGGATGTCAGGCAGCTGTAGGGGAAGGAGGCTTGAGAGACTTGGTCTCTTCTCCTTTGGCAAAAGCCTGGTAGTGAGGAAGGCAGGAGCTGAGGTTGCGCTCTACATTCAGTGAGAGGTGACATACATGTAAATGATATTTTGAATCGTCACAACTTCTCATTGTGGCAAAGACTTGAGAGCTTTGCCAAGAAACCCTTGTATTTGGTGGCAGAACTTTAGACCTAGACAAGATGAGTCCTGCGTTTTTGAGAGTCCATGGAGTAAAGAATTGGCAGACCTAGGGGATGTGCTCACCTGGATCCTAAACTACCCCTTCTAGACCATACACCAGTTATCCGGAATCTCAAATATACTGCTCAAATGGCCCAAGCCTGCTTCAGTGAACTGCACTGTTTGTACCTGGTATCTGTCCTCTCATGAGCCATCTCCTTATTAGTATGTGCACTCCTGGGCCTGAGTGATGGCCAATGGATGGCTATTTGTGGGGATAAGGGGTATGAGGCATTTGGATTTGCAGGCTGGGATGTTCACACACTTGTGTATGAAATCCCTGATGGTTCAGAACAGATGTTGGCATGGGAGGAGAAGAGGACAGGCCAGGGGCTGGAGAGTGGCTCTGCCCACACTGTCATGTTCTCGTATAGAAGTCCTAAGAGTCTGAGAATTCTAGATTTGAACCTGGACTTCCAGGTCTTTATGGTTACATATTTGTAAAAGTAGAAGAGAAAATATTTTATTTAATAGTGTTTAGCTTAGTGTATGACTGACCTCTGCTCTTGTGTGGATCCCACAAGGGTGCTTGATGAGAAACTTCAGGAAGCTCAGATAAGATGAGGAATGAGAAAAGCAGTTCTGGAAACCTGAATGCTCTTAAGAAACTGGGCCTATTTCTTTTCCTCTTTCTATGTTAACTCATTCCCAAAGGTCTCAGAGTGTAATTCAAGAATTGGTATATCTGATAAGGACAGGGAGCCTGGATTTCCTTTACCCAGGGTCAAGAATTCAGAGCCTTTCTCTGCTAGGCTCTTCCCCATCTCCAATTTACTCACCTCCTCCAAGTCAAAAGTGTCCTGCTGCTGATGGGTTAGAGATCGGCGCAGTTCTGGCCTCTCTTGGCTCTGCTTCCATTTCTGTCGGACGATGGACAGATCCAATGAGTTAACCTTCCTGACAGAGGGATTCTTCTGAAACAGGCTCTTCCTTGCTTTGCTCTTCCTTTTCCAGAAAGTCTCATCCTTGACCAAGTGGACTTCCTTATTGGTGGCCTGTAGACCCCACAACTCTCTCTTTACCTGTGCAGGATCTGTCCTCCACTGTAGATTTTCTCTGGGCAGAGAATGTGTGCAATAGGGTATCTTGGGGTTAGAATGCAGAGTTTGCAGTGGTTCGCACACTGTGGACATCCCCGGCTGTGTTTCCTCTTTAGGGCAGAGGACACATGAACAAGAAGTAGGCAGCATTGTACCCCTGATGGGGGGCACAGGATCTTCCTGTGAGCCTGGTCCAAACTCAGGGTCTTGCTGAAGAATGAGCTTCTCTCCTCTCACTCTGTCCATCACTTCCCACACCACTTGGTCCAAACTGTTCCTTTTGGAGGTATTGTGGGGTGGTGATAACTGAACGCGGGGGCATGTATAAAGGCACATTTTGGAGATGGCTTTCCGGAGGCGATCTCTGGGTGAGTGAGGTTCAGGTTCTGGGGCCAGAATTTTGATGGATGGCACATCAGTTGGGTTGCAATTCCAGAACATGTGCGGTGGTGTGAACTTTTGGACAGGTGTCTTAGACACATAGGAGTAGAGACAGAAGAAGGCATCAGCAGTGACAGCCAGTGTTTGCACTTGCTTAAATCTGCCTGGGTACAAGGGTTGAAAACAGTGAGTCTGGGAGGCTATCAGCAAATTATTTCTCAAATTTCTCCCTTCAATAGCCTTCCCAAACCTAAAATCCAGAAAGAAGGTATCAATTTCCCCACTAGCATTTCTCCTATTTAGATTTTTGACACTCAGATGCCCCTTTCTTGGCTTTCTTGAATTTTCTTTAATTTTTATTGAATTTATTGGGGTGACATTGGTTAATAAAATTGCAAAGGTTTTAAGTATACAATTTTATAATACATCATCTGTATATTGTATTATGTGTTCACCATCCAAAGTTAAGTGTCCTTCCACTTTCCTGATTTCTTGACTTCCCACACCAAGTAGCTATTTTACTTTAGTCCAAAAATTAATTCTATATGGTCTGAGAAACATTTCTATATCTTGAGTTAGCATATCTTTCTGTTGTCAGTATTTTCTAAACAATGACCTCAAGCACTGTGTTTGCTTTAGATGAAAAACATGATAAGAAACAAAAAATAATGTTACAAAATCAACATTATTATTTTTTTAGTAATAAAACAGGGTTATAGAAGGCAACAAATTTGAGGGATAGCAATGACTAGGCAATGAGCTGGAGTAGAGAAATTTAGATGAACTCTATCATTTCTATTAGACCTTTGCTTCTCAAAGTGTGGCCAGTAGTCCAGAAGCATCAGCATTGCTTGGTAACTTGTCATAAATACAGAATCTGACTGTATCCCATACATTTTAACAATATCCTCTGGTAATTCATGTGCACATCCGTGTTTGAAAAGCACTGTGATAAACCATAAAGTCATTAAATTGTAACCTTCTTGGAGGCAAGAGTCATGCTCCTCTTGTCTAGCTATTGCTATTCCAGAATTTAACACATAATTATGTACCTGGTACATACAACAAATTCAATAAACTATCCTCAACAGAGTGTGACGAAGAATCCTCTAAGGTGTGAAAATACTCCCACTCAAAATTCTTGTTTCAGTCGCTCAGGAGTCTAGTTTTACTAAACCTCTAAGTTGAATCTGATACAAAGAATCTGAAACAACACTGTCAGAAACACCATCTTGTTTTCAGTGTAGCAGAATATAATTTGAAATATATTCTAACATGTAGAATTAAATAGAATGTTTTATACCTCATGATGGTAGAAGAGCCCTCTCATATCTTTCCTTACTATGAAATCAGTATAACTTAAATGATTGTTTCCCTAGATGTGGTCTAAGGATTGCATAAGAATCATCTGTGTGCTTGTTTAAAATAAATATCCCCGAGCCATTCTTTCTCTGGAGGATAAACCTATGAGAATATGTCAATGTTATCCATCTCCACTGAAGACAATATAAAGGAAAATAGACACAAGAGACAAAGGATCACAGGAAGCTAATCGAGGGAAAGTAGGATTTGGATCCATTGATCACTGTCTGGAGGTTCAGGAAAAAGCATGGATCTGTGGGAACACTCACTGGCCAGCATGAGGCATGGGTCCTCCATCTCAATCCTCTGCACCTGGGCCTTCAAGAAGAGCTGGAAATCAATGCCTCTGGCCTGGGAGGGGTTGGTGAAAAATCGGGCAGGGATCCGAGAAGTGTCTTTGTGGTCTTCCTGACCAAAGCCCAGATTGAAGAGGACATCTTCTGCGTCTTCTTGCACCTTGTCCAGAATCTCAGAGATGCTGAAAAAGGGAATTTGGGTAAGTAGGGGCGATTTTGAGGCACAGGGTAATCCAAGTATCTTTGACTTTGAGAAAAACTTTTATTTCTCTGAACGTAAATTTTCTGTCTGAAACATGGGAATTCAATACAGCTCTGATTTAAAAATTGAATGAAATTCTATCATAGGACTTTGAATAACTGATTACAGGTGAATGAAAATTTACTATGAGAGGATTTGAACAATCAAAGTAAGTACAAATACAAAGAAATCTGTGGTTGTGTTATTAACCAGTCAGTTCCCACTTGCACGTACGTACTATGACATAGCTGGCTTTTGCCAAGTGCTTTGCAACTTGCCACCCAGTTTGCCCTTAGCGGTTGTGGGGGACAATTAGAGAATATGTGTGTAGGGAACATAAAACCCATTTTATCCTCACTCTGAGGGCAAAAAATTTTCAATACGATATGTCCTCATTGAATGTCATTGATAGGTTTTGTGACTTTAAGCAAAACAACATATAGTGAAATCAAATTTACCATAGGCTAATTGTTATAAATAACTGTTAAGTTCCTATGTCATCTCATCAATGTTGTAACAAAACAGCATTGAACAATATAACCTTATTTGAGGACCCACTGTGAGGTATGTTCAAAACCTGATTTTGAGAGGTAGACCCATTTGTAGCTCCAGTTTCAGTACAGAAGCCCTGCATTACAGAAGATCAAATATTCTCTCTTCATGACACCAACATGTATCTGCATTCAAATCTGTGTTCCACCAGGCTGGGTGACAGAGAGCTCAATAACTACGCATCCCAAACAACAATGGGGTGGGAGGGCTGTGGATTATTTGAGACTTTGAATAAACACTTTCACTCTCTTCAGAAAAGATGTTGGGCTTTTTGATCCAAATAGGTAGCTTTGTTTAATTAACAGCTGGATAATTGGGATCCCTGGCTTTACTATTATGTTTGTTACCTAAGTGCTGATTTTATATCCATGGTCCCACGTTTCCTTATCTGAATTGTGGGCCTAAGTCTGAGTATTGGTTCTTAACCAGGGCTGCATATTAGAATCACTTTCAGGGGGCTTTAAAACATGAAGATGTTTGAGTCTTATCTCAAGAGATGCTGATTTAATTGAACTGGAGTGTGGGCCAGGGCTAGGGCTCTGTAAGGACAAGTCACTAAAGATAGTTATATGACTAATAAGTCTCAGAACCAGGTCTCAAATTCACATTTTGACTGGAGCCAGGCCAGTATAGCTCAGTGCTTGAGCATCACTGGAGGTCATGGTTTGATTACTAGTCAGAGCACATGCCTTAGGCTCAATCCCCAGTAGGGGGTGTGCAGGAGGAAGCTGACCCATGATTCTCTCTCATCATTGATGTTTCTATCTTTCTCTTCCTCTCCCTCCCTCTCTCTGAAATCAATTTTAAAAAACAAAACAAAACAAAAACTTTGACTTGAAATTCCCACTTTTAATTATACCACACTAGTTTTCATCACTTTCCATCTTGTTCTAAAGGTATTTGCATGTTATTTTGTTCATTCTATTGGATTGTTGAATTCCTGGGGGCAAGCTCTTTGTCTTTTTCATACAGCCATTGCCTGGCTTGCATTAGGGGATAGAAATCTGCCTGAATGAATCAATATTTACTGCTTCAGTCAATCAATAAATCAGTCAGTTAATCAATACATTTATTGATTGTTTATTGAACACTTAGTAATACTAAGTCCAGGAACCATTATGGTACCATTACACTTCCTGCAGTATAAAGCTCAGTGGAAAGACACCTGTTATTTCACACATAGCATCAAACTCTGAGCAGTAGATTCCTCTGTGTTCCTCACTATTCTTGAAGCAAACATGGTCATACTTCTCAAGTATTTGATTGCATAAAAGCTCCAGAAAGATATGCCAGAAAAAATGGGCAATAGTTCTCAGTTCCATTCTTTTCTGCTTCTCATCTTCCCCATCCTTCTACCCCTGCCAGTACCTACCTTGAACTAGTCTTGTTGGTCCCACCAGTCATGCTGCTGGAAGCCATACTGCAGCCAAGATCTAGTAGCTGGCAGGGCCGGGTTGTCTCCAGGAAATTCCTGCAGGGATAAGAGATGATGTCATACGAATCTTGTAAGCAGTTTGCACCCTGGCTGCAAGACACCCCTGCTGGGCATAGTCACTCCCTGCTGGGTACCTCTGAACCATGTACTGTGAAAATTCAGTCTATGACTTCATTCCTGATCGGGAAATTTCACTCTATTTTAAATTTTTAGCTCTTTGTTTTTACATTTTTTTTTTTGACTGTGACACTTACCCCAATTCAGTAGCTCCGGCTGACCTTATACTTACCTGGAGAAGAAATTGCCATTAGTGGCCATCAGTGTGGCTGGGCAAGGAATAGAAAGGTAAAGAGAAAGTTAGAAGGGAAAATAAAAATCACTGAATCTGCTCCTCTGGACTTAAAATTTAGTCCCCTTCTATTCTTCTCTGCCACTACCCCATGAATTCCATTCTTTACGGATTTATCTAAAGACAATCAAACACAGGCCTGGAAGGTGGACTTATATAGCAGAGAAAAATTGGCCCTGAGCCTCTGGACTTCTGAACCATGAATGGTTTCTAGATGAGAGTTCCTCTGTTCTGAGAAGCATAGAGTCATTCAGCTCTCCAGGCTAGACTTTCTATCACACCATATGAGTCTCTTCAGATCCCGGGAGACAGTAGTAGGTTGCTATACCTCTGTCTTTTATTCAAGCCCTTATCTTCCTGCAATGCAGTCTCTCTCACACCCAGTACTGAGGCTGCATTGGGTTTCCTACACAGAGAACTATTTCAAAGATGTCTGGGCAGCCAATATTATCATGATTTTATATGTTATCTTTCCAGGGTCCAAAGGAAAGCTCCTATGGTGGACCAGTAGACATACTAATAGGTTGGTGCAGAAGTATTTTGGGGCATGTGATGCTTTCTTAGTTTCACATTAGATGCTATTGAGATTGCTCTTTCCCCATGGTTAAGATGCCAGGAATGGGCTGCTTTGTTCTGCAGTTATTCTCTTCCATCCTATCCTTAATCAATCCAATGTATACTCTCTTATTCAATCTCAACCTCAGAGACCTGTGCTACTTACCCTCTGCTCCAAGGGTCAAGTCATCTTCAAAGCTTGTTCTCTGGCTGGGGCACCCTGTCAAAGAATAAGGCCAAGGTCACAGAAAATCAGGCTTAGACACCCCCACACCTACCCGCCCTCCCCCAGTCACACCAGACATCGACATGTTTGCAAAACTACCCCAAGCTGTACATACATATAGTACCTCAAAAATTACACTCATATTTTTACCCAGAAAGAATCACATAGACTTCATCTGTAATTAACCTGTCCCCTACATCACATAGTCATGTACACAATTCTCTGGCAAATAATAAGTACATGGAGGTGTGCACTCAGACACATAAACACATACAGCCATATTGCTATCCAGGTAGAAGAACAATAGAAGAAAGAACAGAGTCTATACTCACCATTGTAGATTGACTGTCCGGCTTCCTCAAAAAACCCTTCTTCCGTGTAGCTAAAAACCAAAAATAATTTTATAGGTTAAAATCATTACATTTTACATTCAAATATGTGCCACAGGTTCACATAATTTTATGATGAGAGTCAGTAGTATTTAAAATGATTTTATGTTGAAGAAAACAAGACAGAGTGGTTATTTGACAAATTCATGGAGGTGATCATGAGAAGCTGGGACTGCAGCGCTGTCATTGTACTGACCACATTGTCTAACCTTAGCTTAGCAACAATTCTCCAGGCAAGTTCCTAGGTAAGGAATATAGAAACAAAATTGGAGAAATAGATTTACAGAAGCAGGGATTTGGGTGCATAATTTCTACATCACAAAAGCAAATATAGAGATTTTAAAGAAACTTTTAGGAGGTCATCTTATCTACCCACACCGCCCTTTCTTCTCTATGAGTCGTATTCTTGCAGAATATCATGTCTTTCAGGAAGCAGCAGAAACTGCCTCTTGGTTAGAGATTATATTTTTACATTTTGAGATATGAGCTTATCAAACATTTACCATCTGCAGAAGAAAAACAGATGGAGATCAGCATAAATGTTAGTGAGAAACAACTCAATTTTATAAACAAGGAAGAAATTCTCTGTCTAAAACAGGTGAGTGAAGTAGCCTGTGAAAAAACTTTGAACTGGGACCAGAGTACCTGGATTCTAGTCCTGGCTCCTTGCTACTGTTATGTTTTCAAACATTACACAGAGGATTGGATGCCTAGATATTATTATTTTCTAAGCCCACTTCAAGCACTGATGTGTTGTGAGTTTTATAGAGTTTGCTTTCCTGGGAGTTTTAAAATGGAAGTTGCACATGATGCTTTGAATGTAATCTCATACGGAGGCTGGAGCAGAGAAGGCCTGCTAAAGTGAGTTATCAGGGAAATGGACTGGAGTGCATCCATTCCATTGGAGTGGTCTTAAGTGAGGCCTCGCCTTGATCAGTCTTCAGCGATCCAAAGAAATTTAAAGCTATTGGAGCATCACTTCATGAAGTGCTTAATAATAGCAATGGGTTTACTAATTGAACATTTGTAGATTAGCTGTGTTTAACATTTTATAAAATAAATCATTATGTATATTTTTAGACATCTTTTACTGGTACTTTGCTTTTAATAGTGAAAAAAATCAACCCTGTTTTCCAAATTCTGTATTTTTATATGTCCTTATGAAAAAAACAGTTCATCAAGGTATGATATAAAATGTGCAATGATATACCCAAGCTAATTGAGAACAGGTACCTCTAATACTATAACTTGAACTAAAAATATATACTTTTCTTTCTAATATGTAATATTATACATAAACCAATATTTTATTACACATATAACATTATCTACACTAATAAAAGAGAAACATGGTAATTAGCGTACGACCGCTACCCTTTTCATTGGCTAATCAGTGAGTATATGCAAATTAACTGACAGCCAAGATGGCGGCCGGCAGCCATGCACTGAAGCAAACAGGGAGGCTTGCTTGCTCCAGTGACTGGCAGACTCCAACGTTCCCCGCCTGCCACTGCCGGCCTCTGACCTGGCAATTTGAAACATTGTAACAAATATAGAAGCTAAACAAAACCCCAGAAACCAGCTTTCAGCCGCCGGGATCTCAGAGCTGGAGTTATACATTGTTTTGATTATAGAACTCAAACAAACCAGATACCTGCTTTCAGCAGCGGAAGCCTCAGAGCTAGAGCCAGAGCTAAAGCTGGCCCAGAATAAAAAAAGAAAAAAAGAAAAAAGGGAGCGGTTGGGAGCTTCAGTCAATCACCAGCCTGAAAGCAGCCCTCAGCCCCTCACCCAGACTGGCCAGGCACCCCAGTGGGGACCCCCACCCTGAAGGGTGTGTGACCAACTGCAAACAGCCATCATCCCCTCATCCAGGCTGGCCAGACACCCCAGTGGGGACCCCAACCCTGATCCAGGACACCCTTCAGGGCAAACCAGCCAGCCTCCAGGCCTCTATCCTATATAGTAAAAGGATAATATGCCTCCCTGCACCGGGATCAGTCGAGCTGCAAGGGCTCCTGGCACCGGATCAGCATGACAGAGGGCAGCGCCCAAACCCCCTGATCGCCCTGCGGCTCTGTGTGTGACAGGGTGCGGCGCCCCAACCCCCATCCCCACCCCCCACAGGCCCTGCTCTGTGTGTGACAGGGTAGAGCCATAACCTCCCCATCGGCCCTGCCCTGAGTGTGAGAGTGGCAGCGCCCACAACCCCCGATCCGCCCTGCTCTGTGGGTGATAGAGGGCAGCGCCCCCCCCCCCCACACACACACACAGGCCCTGGTCTGTGTGTGATGGGGTAGAGCCATAACCTCCCCATTGGCCCTGCCCTGAGTGTGACAGTGGCGGCGCCCCAACCCCCTGATCCGCCCTGCTCTGTGTGTGACAGGGGGTGGTACTCTAACTCCCCTATCAGCCCTACTCTGTGAGTGACAGGGGGGAGCTCCTCAACCCCCTGATCGGCCCTGCTCTGTGTGTGACAGGGGGGAGCTCCCCAAACCCCTGATGGGCCCTGCTCTGTGCATGACAGGGGAAAGTGCCCAACCCCCTGATTGGCCCTGCTCTGTGCGTGACAGGGGGTGGCGCCGCAACCTCCCCATCGACCCTGCCTTGAGTGTGACAGGGGGCGGTGCCCCAACCCCTCAATCAGCCCTACCCTGAGCATGACTGAGGGTGGCATTGCAACATCCCAATCCGCCCTGCTCTGTGCATGACAGGGGGCAGCGCCCCAACTCCCCAATCAGCCCTGCTCTGAGCCTGACCAGGGGCTGCACCTAGGGATTGGGCCTGCCCTCTGCCACCCAGGAGCAGGCCTAAGCCAGCAGGTCGTTATCTCCCGAGGGGTCCCAGACTGCGAGAGGGCACAGGCCGGGCTGAGGGACCCCCCTTCCCCCCCCCCCCGAGTGCACAAATTTTTGTGCACCGGGCCTCTAGTTATATATATATTATATATTTATTGTTGTTAATCCTCATCCGAAGATATTTTTTCCATTGATTTTTTTTAGAGAGAGTAGAAGGGAGGAGCACAGACACAGAGAGAAAAACATTGATGTTAGAGAGACACATTGATTGGTTGCCTCACACATGCTCTTTGACCAGGGCTGGGGATCCAGCCTGCAACTGAAGTACATTCCTTGACAGGAATCAAGCCCATGACCCTTCAGTCCATGGGCCAACACTCTAACCATTAAGTCACACTGGCTAGGGCTACATACATATATTTTAATATAATATTAAAATATGTTGTATATGTAATATTACAAATGTTAGTATAAATAAATATTTACAATTACTACTAAAACACTATGATAAGTAGTATAGGAGGCCCCCAAATCGTGGCGGATTAAGTGGAAGCTACACTGACACTTTCCCAGGACCAAATTGGAATTATTGCTATTATTAAACATTTCATGAAGTGATGCTCCAATAGCCTGAGATTTCTTTGGGTCACTGGAATATCCAGGACCAAACTGGAATTATAACTAAAATACAGAAAAACCATTCTGAATAATCAACTGAAGACTAGCTGGAGAGAACCCAGATAACCAAGGACGGGAAGTGGAGACCACATACAGACTGATAGGAAGTATGGAGGCAGAAGAGGGCTGGCCAAGCTCCCACAGACAGCAGCTGAAGTTCCAGAGGGATAGCTCAGCTGTGGGGTATTCTCACGGAGAACTCTGGGGTCTAAACCCCAAACTGGGTTCCCCAGCCCAGTGCACCAGAACTGAGAAAGGTACCCACATAACATCTAGTTGTGAAAAGGAGAGGGGTTTCTATCTGCCAGCCAGAGACAGC